CAATAAACTTACTGTTAATTTTAACTTTACTTATTTTTCAAGTCCGTGTTTTGTTTTACCAGTGAAAACAATGAAACGTTGGCCCCAGTTTCAGGCCGTCTTTTTCTGACATTAGTTCGTCTCAGACCTTCCACAGCTGAACCAATTCTGGGCCTTCTATCTGGGGCAACAAGCTCTCTTTTTGTTATAATTGCAGCACTGCCATTTACTGTTACTTTGTAACACGTGTTCTGAACGGGCAACTCTGACGTTCTCCCCTTTGAAAACTCCCTGTCTGACCTTGTATTTTCACTCTTCTAACTCGAGAATACATTTGTTAAGCTCCCACAGGTACCGTTGAGATTTTACATTAGCATTTATAATTACGGTTAATAGAAGCTCGTATGTAGTGAGAATCTGCTATGTGTCAGGCACCTGCTAAGCATTTTCCAAGTACTATTGGCTTTAATTTGGCCAACAACAACTCTGTGGAAAAGCAGCAGTGTCATTCCTCCTTAGAGCTGAGAGAACCGAGAGGGAGACAAGCTAAGAGACGTGTCCTATGTCACACGATGGGTAAAGGGCCAAGCTACTGGACCCCACGAACTTCGGATGCAAAGTCCACTGTTCGTAAATGTTTTCCCCTGTTGAAACTTGCTCCTTTAAAAAAAATACACAAAGTATTATATCCTCTGTAGGAGAAATCAATTCCGAATCCACTTAGTAATTTTTCCTGTGACTTTTCCGATATTGAATTGGTCTAAATTTTCTTAATGAAGGATTTCAAACTTACAAAATTTCAAATAAAATATAAAACCAAAAGCTAAACCACACTGACAACACCAAATGTCTTATCCAGCACCTAAGTGAGACCTCAAAGAACCAAATTTACATTCTGTTGAAATGGGTTACTCGGAAGTAGCCTAAAAATGACATCCAACCCTCACGGCAAAGGGTCATTGACTTGTTTAAATATTAAAAAGTGGTAGTTTTAAATAAATCTCCCAAAAGGACAGAAAAGATACCTCAGTCAGATTTATACTCCTTTGTTCTCCTACCCACTCAATACAGTAAAAATGCACAAAATCCTAATTCTTGGGTGGTCCACACCGCATCTCGAAATAAGTTTCCTAACCCGTACCCACAAAGAGGCTCATGTTACGTTCAAAGCTTCTTTGCCTCCCGCCCCAGTCTTGGCCTCCTGTGGGCCCAGGACCCGATGGTGCCAAGGGAAACACGGGGGAAGCTCTGGCCCGTTACGGCTCCGACTCATTCGCCCACGTTGAGGAAATACTCACTCGAGACCCTCGATGAGCCCGGACTGTCTGTGAGTCTGGTCCTCACCCAGCTTGCTCGGCCTGCCCTGCCGTGGGCCCGTATGTACCATTGGCTCTGCAAGCCCGTGGGCCGTCGCTGGTCCACACCACCTCTCGGTGGACAAGGCATCAACCAGATGAGGTCAAGTGTAACGAGGCAAACAGAGAGGGTAACAGTGCCAGCGTTCGAGAGGTTCACACGCTTCGTTTCCAAATACCCCGTGTCAGGCCCGCCCAGATATGCCCTCAGTTGTGCCTGTGAGCTCGAGAGATTCAAGTCTTGGCTGGAATCAGGCCATTGAAATACAGTCCTGGACACCGAGGTCACCAAAGGATGCCTCAGGCAATCTGACGCAAATCTCAGCCTCAAGCACCTGCAGGGACGAGGCAGGTGACACAGGTGTATGAGAATACCAGCCAGGCTGCTAAAGGTACTGACATTCTGATTCCCAAAAACACTGCCCGGTGGCCCTCTGTGACCCCGGCCTCGGGGCAGAACGCCTACAGCTGAGATCAGAAAAGAGACATTAATGCAAGTGCCGTTCCCCAGCACAGAGACGTAGTGGCAGAGCTCCGGAGAAGAGATGTGTGAGTCTGACGGCCCTGCGATGGGAAGGACTCACACAGGAAAGGAGAGGCTAGCCCGTGACAGGAGCCTGACGGCCGGTAAGGCCAGCAGGAGGGATGTGTGGCCAAGGAGGCCACCAGGGGGTTCCGAGGGGGAGAGACGTTCCAGCGCAGGACGCCAGGGTGGATGCTGTCATCGCGGCCTTCACCGGAGCCAAGAAAGGCCCAGCCAAGGCGCCGGGCTCATAAAGCCACGAGGCCGGAAAACACCAAGGGGTTCCTATTCTGAGATGTTTATCCGCCCGCAGTTTCATAGGGAACATGGTGAAAGCACACACACCCCTGCCCCTCCCTTCCCTGCCAACCACGAAGTCACTTCTTCTGTCCGGGACGCAGTTCGCTCAGCCACTGGGGGCAGGAGGTGAGCCCGGATGATCTCTGAGTTCCTGCCCAGCTATTAAAGAGAGAGCACGGCTGTGAAAAGTACTTGCACGCTCATGTGTCCAGTAACCCATCCTTTCCAACACGCCACCGTACCTTCACGTATTCTGAAACGACTATCGTAACCAAACTCACGTTGGAAAGTGCACAGTTACTGGCTTGAAACAGAAATAACCCAGAGCATTGTTATCTCTGTGATGATAATGGCATCACGTCAACTGTGGAGACAATAAAAATTCAGCACAAAACAAAGATGTATCGTTAGTCCTCACAGTGAAGAAGAGGCTGCGCGAAGCTATTTCTGCCCTTTCCCTCCCACAGGCTGGGCCAGTGGGAGGGAAAGGAGGCCAGATCCAGAACCGCCCACACGGGGCAGGCGGGGCGGGGCGGGTGGGGGGGGGGCCCAGCTCGAAATGCACGGCACCACTGCGGGCCCAGTGGGCTGGGAGACTTGGAGTCTAGGCCTAGCCCTTCCCGTAAGCGTGGAACTCTGGGCAAGGTACTTAGCTTTTCTTAGCTCCACTTTCTATTTGTAAAACAGCAAAAATTCGATGTGGTTCTTCGACCTCAAAAATGTGCAAGAGCACAGAAATGAGCGTGGGAAGGTCTGAGTGCGAGGGCGGACAGGGCCCCGGCGGTAAAGGAGCGCGGCAGTGGCGAAGAGCCGGCGGAGCAGGAACCCGCTCACTGTCGGGACTGGTCCGGGCGAGTGACAGCGTCACTCAGCCAGGGTCAAAGGGGGCGTCTCGGGCAGGTACAGCGGTGAGTATGACCGTGACAGTGAGGCACAAACACGCACAGCCCCCGTCTCCCCAGCGGGATGAACTTGGCCGGGCTAGGCATGAGACACAGACGCGGTTTATAGACTCCTGGTTGTGGACAAATATGTTTCCTATCTTCCCTCACTTCTCCTTTCCTCCCTTCTCCTCCTCCTTTCCTCTGCCCCTTCTTTCCGTACAGTTCAAACTCTGCACTGAGGGCTCACAGGCACGCAGCCCTCATGTTGCTCCCAAATGTCGTTATTGAACCAAGTGACCCAAGTCCCAGAAGCAACAGATGAGACTAGGGGAGCCTCTATCTCTCCGGGTGCCCCCGTCTTTGTGCACGGCATGGTCACTGGACTCCTCGTGGCTCCTCCCAAAGACACGGCCACAGGGGCGTGGGGGAGAGAAGGCAGGTGCCCCAGCCACCCGGGGGCCCGGTCCCCGTCTCTTCCACACATTTCTCCTGCCCCAGCCACTCGGGGTTCCCAGCTGGCAAGGAAGGAGGGGAGCCGCATACTGAGTGCTGACTATAGTGAACATTTTCCATTTACTATCTCATTAAGTCTAAATACTTATTTCTTAGGAAAATCATCTGGCAATAGTGGACAGAAGATGGAAAAAGCAGAGGCTGAAGGACCGGTTTGGAGGATGTTAACAAGGGTGACACGAAGAGGACCTAAATTTGACAAACTATCCCAACTGCTTTTACGGCACTTCTATTCTGAAACACCAAGTTAGGAATATTTAATAGGAAAAACCACAGAATATAGAGCCCCACGACCCCAGACTAGGGACTCCATGCCCCTACACCAAATTCAGAGGCCGAATCACACGTGCACCCATAACAATGGTAAAAATTATAGCTTCAATTTTCTAAGCGTGTCTCTGCTCCAAGCATTGTACTAGGTACGTTACAAGCATCTGAGGCCCTGGCCACCAGAGGCGAATTATTATATCCACTCCCAGAGGGAAGAAACCAACAGTCCGGAAAGCTGACTAACACACCCAGGGCCATACGCGCAGCTGGGGGTAGGGGCCGGACCCAGACTCTGGGCCGTCTGCCTCCGGAGTCCGCACCCACCAGAGCAGGCGACTTGGTCTCCCAGTTTATCTTTTTGAGTTTCTGCTTGCATTCCCTTTTCTTCTAGAAGTGCCGATTGGGGAGGAGAGGCAGCAACAGGAAGAGCATCAGCACAGGTGGGGGAGGGGCACAAGGCAGGTAAGAAGGAAGAAGAGGAAACCAGGTCCCTTACTCCGGTCCTTGCTTCGGGAGGAAATAGATGCTACGACTGCTGCACTTAACCAGTTCATTCACTTTAGCTCCTTCCTGCTGCCATGAAGAGAGACCCTCGGAAGCAGGAAGTCGGGGTGCACCGCTGCCTGCAAGGGACCCTCTGCCTGGGGGCGGGCAGGGCTGGTCTGGATGCCCACGGCCATGCCTGCCTGTCACTCAGGGGAGGGCTGACCCTTTCACCCTGGCTGACGGGTGCCTCGTCTCCCATTCCCCAGGCTTCTTCTTTGTCTCTTCTCCGCATTCTGATGACCCCAGTCCAAGCAGGCAGCAGAAGGGCCGGGGCTCATCTGGATAACATTAGCGCTTGCACGATGCTATTTTCATCTAAGAAATGTGGTATCGTGAGATCACATTCAGTTTCACTCTCTAATCCACTTTTCATTGGTGAGAAGCAAAACAAAAAGGATCACACATTTAAAAGCAGGGAGAAGGAAAAAAAAAGGCATACCATTCTAGAAATGTCTAGCAAGCAAATACCCCAAGAATATTTATCCAAGTGGTTACCCGGGGAAATCTGAGGAGAAATGTGAAAGCAATTTCCCTGGCCACCAGCACTTTAGTATCCCAAGCACACCCCAGACACACGCCCCTACGTAGGGAAAGCCCAGCGGTGCGCGGCGGCGCGGGCAGGGCGCTTACCTGGCATGACCATGGTCGGCGGGGCAGCCGCGTCCGCACTCAGGCAGAGACGCCCGCCTTTGGCCAGTCTGTCGCAGAGCAAGGTGATGTGCTTCTTCAGTCGGCCCGTGTCTTTGGGTTTGGTCAGCTGGCTGCTGAGGTTCAAAGCCTGCTCCTTGGAACTCTTCGACAGGCAGGTCTTCAAGAGGTAGGAGACAGCAGCATCCACCGTCTCTTCCCAGCCCTGGAGGCAAAAGCCCATTTTAAATACATGCAAAGGTGGTAAATGAGCAGAGCAGGCACCTGTCTGTTAATCGGGTTCTCAGATTACCCCAGACCAGTCTGGTTTTGAATTCTAGCTCTGCAAGCTGCTTGACCCTGAGCAAGGCACTTAACTCCTCCTGGCCTCAGCCTCCTCTGCAAATGAGGACACGGACGGTCTGCACCTCCAAGGGCTGGGGGACAGGATGAGATGGTGCGTGAGAAGCCTCGGCCCTGTGCCAGGCACGAGCAATCGGCAACGGTCACTGTCATCTCAGGTGTGGGTGCGTTTGAAGACCTGAGGGTGACGCTGCCAGGATTCCCGTTCACTGTGCCCTATCGTTCTGCCAAAGGGTCAGGGACAAGTCAGGACAGGGGGCACCTCAAGATATCGTGGGGGAAAACCTGTTCTCTCTCTCAGCTCTTGGGCCCACAGCCTTGAGCTTGCAGGCAGAGACCAGAGGGCTTTCGTGAGACACAGGCCTATCCAGTCCCACCTCATGACCCAGGTGACAGAGTAGCACAAAGAGAGGGGGTCCCCCCTTGTGCGAGGAACAGGGTGGCTGTGCTGCAGTGAAGGCCTCGAGAATAGCATAGTGGAGGCTGCAGTCCTGGGAATGTGAGTGCTAGGCAGTGACCTCGGGGTGCCTGGGAGGCGGTCAGCACCAGCAGCACCAGGACGAGGAGGCGCGATCCTCAGGTAACAGCTCGGGCGAGGAGCAGGAGGGGTCAGCGCATGCGCACCTACTGGGCATCTCTGGGGGCCCCCAGGGCGTCTGGCGGTGCACATCCACCAGCAGCACATCCGGGAAGTGTGAGTGCAGTCTGGCTCTCGTGGCCAGGGTGACTCCACTCGTGCCCAGGAAGGCCTCGCGCACCACGGGTCTGACAATGAACTCGGAATGACAGAGGAAGTCAGCGAATGAATGTATCCCCACGGGATGATGCAGAGCAGCCCAACCCCTTCCACACGAGGTGAGAAACCCGAGACCTGGGAGACGTTACTGTCAGTACCACGTCACCCCCCACCTTGTCAGCTGGGCCACCTTTCAAACAGGCAAATCGGATGTGGCCACTCCTAAATCCAGATGCTCAGTTTAGCGTACAAAGCACCTTCTGCTCCAACTCCTGCTCCACTGCCCTCTCCTCCTACCCACCTGTGCCCACACTCTCACCTGGTCTCTGCCCTGGCTCCCCTCTGCAACGCCCTGTCTCCGCTCTGTACCTGGGCGACCCCCACTTACAGCTCAGCTCAGGCCCTGCCTTCCATGGATCGCATTCATGGGCCCTCTCCAGGGCCCTGAGGCCCCACACAGCCAGGTCCATCCCAGCACCTGCCCCCCTACACACACCGGGCTGAGGTCACCACCCACGGGCCTGTGTCCCCACGATGGTGCCAGAGTGCCCCGCTTTCCAGACTGCGCTGAGTAAACAGAGGCAGCTCAAGAAACGGGTCTGCTGGGCAGAGAGGTGGAGAGACAGAGAACCGGGATCCTACAGACGGGGAGGACCCGAGCATCTTTAGTCCAGTCTTGAGGGGTTTTTTTCACCAGGATTTCTTCTACAATAGCAGCCATCTGCCCAGGCGTGGCTGTTTGCAGGATCCAAAATTACCATTTTGGAGGCAGTTAACTACTTTCAGGGACATGTGTAACCAGTAAAAAGCTATTCCTATGCTGAGCCAAAATCTGCCCCACTGGCCCCTGCTCCACCCTCCAGAGCCAGGCAGAATAAATCTAACCTCCCTTCTGCACGACAGCCCTCCGTATCTGCGAAGACAGCAGTTCAGTACCCTCTCTTCCAGAACAAACATCCCCAGTTCCTCCAGCTCTTCCTTACGTAAACACGGGTTCGACTTCTCTCTCTATCCTAACCACTTGCCTTTGAATGAGCGCCAATTTTAGACACTTAAAAATGTACACAGCTAACTAGAGAATCCCAAACTGACCCGGAGATAGCAGGCTGGGGAGGGGATGGCAGCGAAGGGCACAGCGCTCCCTCTTGTTTCCTGGGGATTCCCCCGGCCAGCCTGGCCTCGGGCTGCCTCTGCTCTCCAGGCACCTGCACCGCGCACCCTCGCTGCGCAGGGAGCAGACGACTGAGCCGCAGGCCGCCTCCACCCCTGCCCCCCAAACCTCTGCCCGCGAGGCTTGCACAGTTGGTGCTGCAGGCCCACGCGCAGGCTCCGTGCAGACCTCCTCCGGACCTTCCAAATGCTTGCCGAAATCAGGAGTCCTTTCATCCTCGTGACCCATTACAGATGCCACTGGGCAAATTAAGAAACAAATGAATTACTTCAGATTGACCTTGAAATTTTTTTCAAGAGATGTCAAAGACTGTAAAACCAGCTACCTACTCCGAGCCATCAGAGAACAGTAAGTCTCTGGTTACTACAAAGGTATCTCTCTATACAACTGCCAAAATCTAAACTAAACACCTAAAACTGTATTTCAATAGCGATGGGAAGAGGCCGATGAAGACAGAGCAGTAACCCAGATGTCGTAGGAGGGGACACATTTTCCAGTGGATCTAGAGCCGCTGGTGACGACTTCTGGGGGATACCGAGGACAGGCCCTCCGAATACAGTTCAGCCTTTGGGTGCCCTGCGGTCATGTGGGCATCACAACGGTCCCTGCCGTCTTAGAGACTGCTTGTCTAGGCAGAGTACCGCTTCTAAAAGTAGGCTCCAGTGGGTAATTATATATTAGGTAATATTAGGTATATATTAGGTAATTTAAGCAGAAATGCATTTAGTTCATGTAGAGGTACTGCAGAATTTCCTTCCCTCCTGCCAGCTTGCCAATCAAGTGAAAAACCATGTCGTGTTTAGGTATTTGGCATGCCTATTTCTTTAATATAATGAGGCATGATGCCAATACTTCAGGAAGATTGCTGTGAAAATACAGGGTCATTATGTGGAGGGCCTGAATGGCTACACAAACTCAAATATGATAATGAAAAGGAATGTTTACAAGACGAAGAAAAAAGAGCCTTTGAGTTTTGAGTGTTTCATTAAACAAAAATGCGATGTGATCATTCACTGATCAAACACGTAGCATACCTGCCTGATGAAAGGTAAAACAAAGCCGTGGAGATCTGGAATCTCGAGAGCGAGAAGTACCTTGAAGGGAAGCTGTTTCAGCCACCTCCAGCCCCTGACGACCAGTGTGGCTGCAATACAAAGCAGCCGCGCTGATCCTCCCCGTTTATACTCACGCTTTGCATCGGACCTGGGCTCCCTCTCGGACCCCAAGATCCACTTGGGTAGAGGAACATGAAGTGGACCCCCTGCATTACCGTGGAACTGGGTCCTGGGGAGCCATGTTCTGTTTCAGACAAAATGAAACACCAGGGCTGCCCCACAGAGCCAGTCCCCTTGACGGAGCGTTCAAGTCTCCTCCAGTCCCGTGCACTCACTATCCAGGAGCAACTCACCCAAAAATGTAGACTGGAGAATCAAACTGATGATGACGACTCCAAAGGAAAGCTGCTTCTGGGGATGGTAGATGGGATAATTTGGACCAATTATCCCACTGAGACTGACGAGGAAAATTTATCAAAGTCATTTCTTGGAAGGTATAGGGAAGCTAACAAGATAATAAGTAGCAGACCAGGATGGATGGGACAGTGGAGGCCCAGGAAGGTGAGTCCTAGTTTGAGGTCGTTGCCCACCAGGTCTGACAGGCAGCTCTGTCCCCCGCCCCAGCTAAGGACTTAGGCTCGCTCATATGTGTCCCCTAGGATGCGGCACAGGTCAGAAGACCTCGGCTGACTCGTGGCACCTTTCCTCACCAGCTGCATGTCCTAGAAAAGACAGTTTGGATCTCTGGGGCTCAGCTTCCTCCCCAGTTTAAAACCAGAAAAACGATTCCCCTTGCCAGGTGCTTGCAGATAGAATGAGACATATTGAGCAACTGTAGGCAGGTACATAATTCCATGCAATAATTCTTACTTGTGAGATTCTTTTAAAAAGTTTCTCTCTTGAGCTGGTGCCCATGGATATTAATAGCAGCAGAAATAACAACAGCAGCAAGAGTAAAAACTACCTAGGACCTTGTGTGTTGGAAAATGTGCAAAGGATTTCACAAGCATTATTGCGACCAGCTCCTACACTATCCTATTGGACAGGTATCATAACGTGTAACTAAGGCTCTAGCTGTTACACGCTACCAGTAGGAGAGGCCGTGAGTCCAGGACCACCCAGCTCCAAATGTCCTGCTCCAGACCCCCGTGCCACAGAGCACATCTGTCCCATGTCACGTGCATGCCTGTCAGTCCACTGTCATCAGACCACCTTAGGTTCCTTTACCAAACACGCTTTAGGAAATATCAAAGGTCTTCCCCCAGAAAAAGTATGGCCACAATGAACACATTCATGGAACCAAAATTTAAATCAGTTTCTGTATCCAAGTGAATGGTCTGCATACAATTAAATGACACTTTACTGCAGAATCAAAAAGCATTATGATCTGTACCAGTTTGCAGGGGTCAAACTTTTAGCAGCTGCATCAGCTACTGAAACTGACATCTAGAAGCGGCCTTGGGGAACCCTGCCCCCTGAAAACGTAACTCTGATGGGCCTGACAGAAGCTCGTTTCAGGGACTCATCATGGAGACTACTTGTTGAGGCCACTCCGACTGTGGAACCACAACATACACGGGATCACAGACTCCCCGAGTGCCCACCGGGCGGAAGTCTGGAGAAAACCTCACTGAAGCTAGGACAAGAGAGGACCACGTGAATGAACGCAAGGTATCGGCTCCCCCACTCGCGATGCCGTGTTCTTAACAATCTCAAAGTGCAAAGAAGGGCCAACCTGAGGAAAACGATGTCTAACAGTACAAGAAACCGCTGATTTAAGTGAAATAGCAAACAAATACTCATGACAAAAGAACAACAGCGATTCCATAGTTTCTTGCAAAACAAAAGCTGAGAGCTTTCCAGGCTGTGCCACAGGAAGCTACGGACAGGGCTGTGCTATG